AAAATAGTATATCGCCTATAGTATTTTAGTGTGTTAATTCAGACTAGGAAATCTATCGTCATACAATGTTTCATCAGAATTGGCAAAAAATCAACATTTAATTAAGAAAAATTGTCCCGGCCGATCTTTACCGAAAACTAATCAACATGATCATAATAATAATTATTATTATTATAGTTGTTATTATTATTTTAAAAGAAATAATGAAAATGATGAACCATTGTTGTTAACAGCATAAAGGGATTTTTTCTGGAGAAAGCTTGGTGAAACTAATAGTTTCCTTTGACCTAAGTAATTGGAATGATCATCAATTCATTTTTTTTGTAATTTTCATTAATTTTATCTTTTCGATTTCAGTCAGTTATAAAATAAAAAATAAATATAAATATAAATGAAATATAAAAAATAAAAATAAAAAATAAATACACAAAAGCGTTGTACGATTCTTCCCAATTCCACTACAGAATATGATTCAAAATATGAATATTAATGAGTTTTGAACACATTACTACTATAATACTTCATAGTAATATGATAATTCTTGCATATTTTTACTATATAATTCTTGCATATTTATGTGCTATAAATATGAAAGTATACTATACCATAATAAATCATGCATATTTATAAAAAATCTAACAATTGCACTACCTCCCACAATTTGTCCCTAACAAAAAAGTTCACATTTATGAATGAAGAGCTTTCCCTGACCTTGACAAACTCAAATACATTTATCGCATTTCAAAATTCATTATTATCTTTGAGATCCAAAAAATATTAATCCTCAACACGCAAAATCCACGCTTTGTGTGATGAAAAACGAATTTTCTGGGGCGATAAAACGTTATCTACATTTCAAAAACAGAAAAGAAATTCATGATACAGCAGGCAGAAAAAACACCAACTTCTCTTTATCACAAAACGATTTTTCTGTCTTATTACAAAAGCGGAATTTTCCGGAGTTTTTTTATCTAATCACGAGAAAACTCATTATAACGTCCGTTTGTTTTTTTCACAGCAGAAAAATATCTTCTCACATACAAAGCGAAAATTATTCGAGCGCTAATTCTTAAAGAGAATAAAAAATAATAATGCAATAGAAAGTAACCGTCATTTTGAAAGTAATTATAAAATTCATTAACTTGTACATGGAGGTTCATTTTATATACATCTTAGAGATATTTCTGTAATATTATTAAGAAAGTAAATTAGAATGACTAATTCACACTGCTTTATAATTATTTTATTAGGGTGAGTATAAAAACAAAAACAATAGATATTTACATTTTAATATTTAATGAAATATTATTGATCAAATTTTATGATTATCATATAAATCACTATTGTTTTTGTCATTAGAGCATATATTATATAGTTCATGTCTGAGTCAAAGCAAGTGTGTTTAATATTTTTCTCGAAATAATAATAAAATACTCCGCATAAGAAAATAATTTAATGTTTAAAATAACTTAGTATTAATTAATTATCATATTGCATATCTAATTATAATATATAATTTGATATGTACATTCATAAGCAATTTTACAAGCATTTTAGAAAACCTAAGAAAAATCTTTTATATTTGTTTAGGGAGTTTTGGGTATATTTTTTTAGGAATTTTTGAATATTATATTCAAATTAAGGAATTAAGGAGCTCTTTTCTAACAATTCTTTATTCCATAATTCAGAAGTTCTAGAATTCGATGATGAAAATGCTTCTTTATCATACTGTTTTATTAATATAGAAGTAAGAATTTTATTACTATACAGGTTATTCAAAACTTCTGAAAGTCTGTATCAGATTGAAAGCCGAAGTTTGAAAAGTAACAAACAGAAAAATGTACTATAAAAATAAATAAAAAGAGAGTGCACGCAAGCCAAAGAAAACATAATAAGATAATAATATAAATAATAAAAATATATTTAAAATAATATAATTATTTATTATTATTATCATTATTGTAAAAAAATCATATACATGAACTATTGTTGTTAATAGCATAATTGGGGAGGATTTTTTTTGGCAAGGATTGGAGGTGCTACTAATTATTAATAATATTCTCTGCTCTAATTATAAGTAATTGGAATGATCATGAACTTGTTTTTTTGCAATTTTCTTTGATTTTTTGGCAGAGCACTAAACATTATAATGAATTCACATGTATCCAGCAAGTTTGTTTATTTGAATCTAAAATAATAATAATAATAACTGAATCCAAATTTTAGATGCTAAATTTAGGAAAAATCATAAGCTAGTTTCATTGTAAAAAAAATTATATGGGTCACAAAAATCTATTTATTTCATAAAAGTTTATGAAAAATCTATTCAGGACAGAACTAACCAATAGTTTAAATAAAATACTCAGAGTATAAAATAAAATTATAAAGTATGAAATATTAATTATTAAATTAATTATTAGTATAAAATAAAATAAAATTATAAAGAGAAGTAAAATATATTGCTCGACTTTGAACTTAGGAGGCGTCCATTAATCACGTGAGGTTTCTAGGGAGAGGGGGGTTTGGCAAAAAATTACAAAATATCACGAGGGGGAGGGAGGGATATAGTAAGATGTCACATGTATTTATTTTTTAACTATTTTTTTAAAAAAAGTTCACACATTTTCAAAAAAAAATCAAAAACGATAGTTTTTTCACGTAACTAAAAATACACGTAATGTGTGGTGGGAGAAGGGAGAGGGATAATTTTGAATATCACCATGTATCACCAAGAGCGAGGGGGTGTCCAAAAATCCTTAAAAACTCGCTCACGTGATTAATGGACGCCCCCTATAAGTGTTAATAATTGTAGTATACATTCACATATAATAAAACAACATTTTAGAAGGAAACTGTTTCCATATCTGCCTTCGAAACATTTGTACATCGTATTAATTTCGTCTTGTAAGCATTCAAATTAAACTCAAATTATTCAAACTTGTTTCATGCATTACAGTGAATAGAATGCGTACGCTCCATTCATATTTTAACATCAAATAATAATTACGCTACACTGAGAGAAGTAATAATTAAATTTAATTAACACCGAGGAATGAAACGAAATTACTGAAATACACAATAGTCGGGCAAATATCTCGTAGATCTGCATGATAACCTGGGCTCCGTGAAAGATTCAACGATATAATATAATATGAAGTACTACGTTTAGCAGGTCCGAGGCGATGTTGAAAGGAACTTCTCTCAAAGGGTCGCTTGAACATACCACGCGTGAATGCACCGATGTTCGGCGACTAGAAATATATTAGCCTTGAATTTTATCGATAAAATTCCACGTAAATAACCTTTGAGTAGGTGGGTGTGAGCACACTATCACAACTTATTTATAACGATTCAATATAAGTTTGAAAATATGATGATTTAGGAAAAAATTGAACGCACTTATAGAAAATGATAGTATGGATGTAAGTGCTATTATACAAACCATGTAGAAAAAGAAGAAACAAGTCGTAAATATATTTTTTATATTTACTTATTAATTAGACAAATAGAATAAACTCTAAGGTCCATTAATCACATGAGGCTTAAAGGGAGAAAGGGGTTAAAAATACATCACAAAATATTACTTTGGAGAAGGAGGTCTAGTAGGATATCACTGAATTTAAAAAAAAAAATTAATTCAACATTTTTTTTATTTTTTTATGTACTGAAAATACACGTAATGTTTGATGGAGGGCACCAAAAATCCTTAGAAATTTATCACATGATTATTAGAAGGCCCCTAATGTAAACTAAAGAATGAAAAAAAATATTATACTTGCTTATGATGCAATTTTTGTAATGTATGCAATCTATGTTTCCTTGGGCAAATTACTAGAACTTCTCGTTTAATACATAAATTTTGTTGCATTTTTGGATTTTTAGGTACTAAAAATACACGTAATGTTTGGTGGACGGAGTTCAAAAATCGTTAGAAATCAATCACATGATTAATGGTAGGTTCCTTATGTGAACTAATAAATGAATAAAATATTACACTTGCTTATGATGCAATTTTTGGAAAGTATGCAATGTATGTTTTCTTGAGGAAATCACTAAAATCCCTCTTTTAACACACAAATTGAAAAAATTTGTTTCATTTTAAAAAATTAGAAATATTCCAAAAAAAATGTGTTATTTAAAAAAAAACAAATAATTATTAATAATTAATAGTAAAAAAAATCAATTGATTTAGTAAAAAAATACTTAATAAAAAGAATTTGAATTGATATTATTAAAAATAATATGGACTATAATATTGTGAAAAACAGAATGTTTAATTAACAATATTTTACTTTATATTCAATTTTCTCTCATTACTTGTACTTCACTAATTAAGTGATTTTATTCTGCTATTTCTAGCATGAATTTTCCTAGCTGATTGTGTATGGTTCAATTATCATTTTAAAATTGCTCATTTAGTTCGTAATTATTTTAGGGCAGGTGGATAATATCACGATAAACAATGTTCAAAGAAAAATAAATATATATAATGTAAATGTATAATGGGCAGTACTGAACTAGGACAGGTCCATGAGCTGAATTAAACTCATTCATTATTCAGGGAAAAATGATGTGAGAAATTACCCATTGCCATTTCGCACCGCAATGCCCGAAATGGGCTATTTTCAATTGGAAACATATTTTGATTGATATTTGCAAGTGAAAATGAACTTCGCTGAACAATGTCAGGTTGTCCATAGCTGGATTCGAACTCGGAACCTTGTCCAAACGATTCCATGAGCTAATTAACCATTATTATATTACACCATGGCGCACCCATATATATAAAAATATGTATATATATATATATATATGTGTGTGTGTGTTTGTGTATATATGTGATATAAATCCACCTGGTGAAAAATAATCTTAAAGTGTATACTTAAATTCACAACAAGATTTATGTCCCGGCAATGAATCGCCATAGTAGCGCAGGATATAAATTCAATGCTAGTGCAAGACTGCATTATTTTTCTCTATTTTATTGATGAACACCAGAAATGGAGAATAAACACACTAAAGAAATTTCCCAGGATGAAAATATAAGAAATGTATATTATAATAAATATACAACTTGACTTATTAAAATATGTATATTATATATACTTTTATATTATACAATATGTATACTTTTATATTATATAATATGTATATTATATATACGTTTATAAATATAAACATATATTTATATATGTTTTTAGTTAAGCCAGGACAATAACTAGTATGATATAGTTTTGCATTACAAATTATATTTATGGTTTTATAAAAGTTCTTTTAAGGTAATTAAAAAAATCATAATAAAATTACTGACACCAAGTAAAAATCGGTATATAATTTTTATACTTTATTTATTCGTTTTTAAGCCTTCTGTAAAACTTTGTACAATTTACTTCATGATTAGCTTAAAAAATAGCTAAGAAATATAAAGAATTAAATGAATTTGTGATATTTGCTTAGCGGTTCACAACAACCTTCTGACAAAGTGACTGCGCATATATTTGTTCAGAAAAATGTAATATTGCACACTCGAAACCTTCACAATAGTGAGAATAGAACCTTTATTAAATTGTGGAAATGATTATTCCTAGAATTCTGCTTTATCTATACATATATATATATATATATATATATATATATATATATATATATATATGAAGGGTATCCCAGAACTCAACGTCAAGCCGAAACGGATTGATAGGATTTATATCATGTAATAAATTATAAAAAAATGCCTTGTATATTTTATTGCTTATTCTGATCATATAATCTTTCTAATTTTCAGAGGCCCGTACGTGCAAGTTTTTTATCGGTTTTATGTTCCGAAGGAAGCTGGAAATGCCTCCTGCTGACGGCGCTGATAGCAGGTTGCGCCAGTGCAGTGTTATGGTGCAGGCTGAGCCAACTGGAAAGACTCGTTATAGATTTTTCTGCGTAAGTAGCTCAATAGTTTATTTAATATAGAAAAGTAGGATAATAGTATTCTTAGTTACGTACTTTGTTCAACTATTCGTCACTCATTAATAGATAAAAAAAATTGGATTTTCAATGTACAATATGATATACACAAATCGCTGCACTAACGAGGGCAAGTTGAAAGTTGTTGAGGGCAAAGCTTGAAAGCTTTTCAAATAATGTTTTTTATATAATCAATTTTGATAATAAAATAAGCATATGTGATAGAGATGTTTTTAATCACATTTATCAACAAAGTTGTTAGAAAATTAACTTCCTATCTGAGCTTGATTCTCACTACAAACAAGAAAAATAAAACTGTTAGCACTCAAATTGCAAAGATCCATTTGAAGTAAAATATCTTCTATTTTATATTTCACTCTCTGTAAAAAGACGGAATTCGCAACACGGAAATGCAGCTCCTAGCACTTTGCACGGACTGCAATTCGCCTAGAGGTGTTTTCCAAATCAGCAAAAATATATAACAAGTACGAACTAACCACCATATAAAATGTTTTATAGCATTGAACTCATCTATTGAAAGCTTCGTTAATGATAAATGTTCATCGAAATAAAAGCTCGTTTTATATGAGAGCACAACCATCCAAATTAAAAAATTCAATAATATCACTATACTGTATGATTATGCATATAATTAACTTTTAATGGCCCTAAAATAATGTATTCAAATAATTACGATCATTATAAATATTGGAAATATAATAATCAATGTTGTTATTGATAAACTATGAAACAACTCATTATATAAATTGTAATATTCTTTTGTAAATGAAACTGAAATTAATCGCTAATGTACACAATTGAGCAATGAAAGAAACGAATGAATCAAATAAAAATATTATTATATAGCGAATTAAAATTCATATCAGTATTATTACAATTTAAAAATGGCATTCGTTTCATTTCTCAATTAAAACGAATTTAATCCGTCCATTATTTTAATGAAAGCAAATATAATCGAAATATAATAAAGTCACATAAAAATATTGAATTTGAATAACTAGGATGTATATCGTAATGTATAATTTAACTTTCATATAAATCAGTCAATAATTGGTTTTTGAGAACATATTTTTTCGATTATTATTTTATCAATTTTAGTTTTATTGCATTAAATTTCAATAAACAAAATTATTATAGCAAACATATCATATCAAAAAAAGATTTTGATCACTTTAGATTGTTTCAATTTCAACTTCTATATTTAGATTTGTAATACTTTATCCGGAAACATAAATATGATAATTTGATTGCTTAATATAACACTCGAATTTATTTCAGATATCCGATTCAACGAACTCATAGGGCACCCGCTTGCGAAGATGCATTTTTATACGTTCCTTTAGGTTTTCTTGGTTTACTTTATCTGGTTTATTTAGTGGAATGTTATCATTGCTCTACGAGATTAAGGTAAATATTTATACATCATAACAATTTACTATTAATTTAAGATTACGATTAATTAAAAACTCCGCTATGTGTTTTTTTTTTCAATTTTCAGATTAGCAAGAGCCATAGATGCCGAAGCAGTACGCAGACGAATTAGTTTAATGAGAACAGCTGAACCAGTAGTATGGTAAATAATAAATTATAAAAAAATGAAAATTGAAACTTTTTTATTAAACTGAAATACGAATAATGAATGGAATCAATGTAAGTGGTAGACAAAATAGTTCTAATAAGGTGACCATATTTTGTAAGTCAAAACCAGGAAGATAAATATTGCTTTTAGAAAAACACAGGACACAAGGTGGAAATCCGAGACTGTCCTAGGCAAACCGAGATGTTTGGCCCCTTACAAGGGTTTGTAAGAAAACCGATTTATTGCGTGTGAATACAAAATAATTCGAATGAACTTCAATAATAAAGGGTATGCAATTGATAATTTGACTAAATTCTAATGGATACATGAATACATGAATTTAAGGATTTAATCTAGTTTAGAATAATACAATATATCCTGAAAATAAACCAACTTAAATTTTACGTTACACATTACAGTAGTTTATAATCACGAAAAAGTAATGACTTTAGTATGTTGGTCTACCTTAAAAAATTTAACACCAAAATTCGTTTCAAGCAGCCTGTTGTCGAGCAGTAGTAACATCGGTTTTCACTTGAAAATATGGTTTCAAGTAAAAATAGTTTTTTCCCGGAACTGCTTCATTAATAAAATTCCATCACTATGAAAGAATTTGTAATAATAAAATTCATCACATAGAGATGGCTCAATTGTATAGGTTGTCATCTATGAGAACCCACGTAGTTTGTAAAGTATATGATCACAACAGCTTATAGACCCCTTACGCCCCTAGGTAAGCGGTTAAGAGCGACGGGACTTGTTTCAGAGGTCCCGGGTTCGATACCCACTTCGAGCAGCCTGTTGTCAGGCAATATTGACAACGATTTTCACTTGTAAATATAGATAGTAATATGTTTCCAAGTGAAAATAGCTCTCACTCGGCTTTGTTGCACCATACTTGCCCTATTACAGAGATTGTAATAAAGATTTATTATACAGAGATGTGACAACTGTTTGGGTTGCCAACTGTAAAAACAAACGTAGTTTTTAAGATATTAATCACAAAAAAATAAAAAGGATGTTAAAATGTTTAACAATAAAACCTGAAAGTTTCGTTTCAATTAAATATTTGTTTCCTTCCCTAAAAATTTCTCCAAAAAGCGATTTTTTGAACGAAACTAGTGTAACCGCCGCCTTTTGGGAATTTATATTAAAAAAACTATTTCATCAATCATTTCAAAATTGAAGGAATATATTTATACATGTTTTATGAATACATAGTAAAATTTTTGAAAAAAAAAATTAAATATTTTTTAAGTTATCGTCAATCTCCAAAGGCGCGACAAAAAAAAGGCTCTTCACTGCTGCAGTGATTCCGGCCTTCTGCGTGGATGAAATTAAAAAAAAATCTCGTTAAACTGGATAATATTGTCTGTAAAATAAACTACGATAAAGACAAAAAATCAAAAAATGACAAAATGACGGCGTTTTTTTAAAAAAAGGCGAATTTTACCCAAAATTTTGGTCGTTTTTGGACTGTCAAAATTCGATTTTTGATCCGATCAAAAAATCAATAGTTCATTTTACAAAGAACTGTATATAGTACACGTAAAACAATTGATAGCGATCGGATCATTTATTTTTGAGTAATCGCTGTAACAAATTCAGATAATGCTGTTTCGAGAAAAACGCGTTTAAAGATTAAATGATCGTTATACTATATACTATATACTATATATATACTCTTTAAATGGCTGTAACTCAAAAACTATTTAAGATATCGATTTAAAATTTTGGTATGTTATTTTAAAGGTATAAGCTATCGAAAAATTCGATTTTTGAAAAATTTCACACTAGTTGTGCCCCTTAACCTTAAAGCGCTGTTCAATAACAAATAAGAAAAAAAGTAGACAATCATGTAATAGTAATATGGGTGCATTTGACCTATTTCAGAATAATAAGATCAAATACACGTATAGCATCTAGATAAATCTCAATTCGTCAAACAACTTCATTCTTCCTGTTTTCTCCAGGTGGAAAGCTATTTGTTACCATTACGTCCGTCGCAAACGACACATAACGCGCTACAGGAACGGCGACGCTTACACCTCAACCCAAATTTACTACGAGAGAGTGGACTCTCACAGCGCGAGCGCCACTTTTAGCCACGCTTATTGCGGATACCAGGTAATAATTGAAAATATTTATCATCTAAATTTAATAATTAATTTCAATTAAAAAATAGGGCTGGCCCGTAGGTAAGCGGTTAAGAGCGACGGGACCCGTTTCAGAAGTCCCGGGTTCGATACCCACTTCGAGCAGCCTGTGGTCAGGCAGCAGTGACAACGATTTTCACTTGGAAATATAGATAGCAATATGTTTCCAAGTGAAAATAGCCCTTGCCCGGCATTGCTGCACCAATAAAATGTCAGCCCTTTTAGATTAATTCTAATAACAAAAATCATCAAATATGGGTGGATTAACCATTGGGTTACTATTTAAAAAACAAAGTAAGGAGAAGTTTCAGCCCAACAGCTCATAGGACGTAAGGTTCTGTTCAAAAATTTAATAAAAAAAATAAAATAAAATAAAAAAAAAATTTAAAAAAATAGAAAGGCCTAATAAAAAACTGCCGCAGCTTCGTAGTTCAGTCATTATAGTAAGTTCACCTCGGAATTCGAGATAGCCAGCAGTAAGTCTGTAAATACTTTGTAAATACACCCTAAAAAACCTACATAGGTAGGGTGTACGTACCATATGTAGGTTTTGAGACAACTTTTAGGCTGTATTTACAGAGTATTTACAGACTTACAGCTGGGTATTTCGAATTCCGAGGTGAACTTACTATAATGACTGAATTATGAAGCTGCGGCAGTTTTTTATTAGGCTTTTTTATTATTTTCTTTATTTTTTTAATTAATGATAATTATTAAATTTAGATGACTGGACTATCAAATTAGAATCAAACTAGCAAAATTTACAATTTTTGATTCGGGGTAGAGGAATTTCAGTCAAAATTTCTATAATAATCCTAGTTTAAAATCAAAATTTCTTAGTAATTAAAAGTTTTCTATTTGAAGATTCTATATAATTTGTGGACCAGCATATTAGATTAGAAATAAGGTCTACAAGAAGGTTCGTGATAAGATCTTTATATTTATTAAATTTATATCGATCTCGATATTTCATAAAATCCTTATTCAGTTTTATTTTTAGTTCGCTTATAAATTTCTTACCAGTCAACTGTAACTTTTACGTGGTTGATATTTATTTGATTTTAATCATATTATATTCATAATTTAATCTCAATTAAGATATTTCCATTATTAACTATCAAGGATATTTTTTTACTTCATATGTTTTATTTTATTACTTTATTATTTTTTCCAATTTTTACCCAAAAAATCAAAGACTATGGTTTGATTTGGTATGGTTTTTCACTCAATTCAAGCATGTTAAAATATCTACATCTTTCACTCAAATCAATCTAAATAAAACTGATATTAAAATAAAATAATCTAATAGAATGTCCAAAAAACCTTTATAATCGTCGTATAATTACTAAATATAATGCGCTAAAAATTGAATAAAATGCTACACAAAAATCGCATTAAATTTATAAGCAAATTTGAATTTGTTTTCTTCAATTAACTATGCATTGTATTATATTAATAATAATAATATAATTGTATTTTTCAATTGCATTTCAGGATGTTTCCAAAAATTTGATTTTGGATGCGTCAAGTGATCCAATAATAAAATTTAGATTCAGCAAAGGATTTGCATTTTCAAACATTGAAGCAGCTTCAGGTAAAATCTCGTTTTGATAAGCATAATTTTAATGATAATAATATTTTTACATGAAAGGATTGTCAAACAATCTTCTCAACAATGATCCGCCACCGTTGAAATTGCTATTTAGAGGCAGTTTTATCCAAAATGTTTTTATCCAATCTTACATAATTTTCTCAAAACTCTGTTGATTTTCAAATCCGGTATTAAAAATTCGCTCATTAGAAAGAAAAGTGATGTTGATAATGAAAATAAAATATTGTGAAAAAAACTGTGTGCTTTAAACTAATGCCAAGAAATTGCATTGCCATTAGTTATCGATAATATATAAATCATTAAAAAACATATTTCTTGAATAAATATTGATCTTTTCCCAGAATTTGAAGAACAAAGATCTCGATTTTTCTCAGAGCATTCGCATTTTGATGACTACATGGAAATGCGCGAGGGTTTAGACTTGGCTGGCGCCGGATTGGCATTCAGGGAACATTTGGTCGCAAGAAGAGATTCGAAAAAATCGCCATGGTAATCATAAAATATATAGAAGTTCATAAATAGGATCTGTTTAAAACTTGTCCCAGTACAAATCATTGCATGCAAAATCAGATATTTATTAAAAACTATAAAAATTATTACTTACAGGTATTGCACGACACCAGCTTATTGGATTTTATCATTTCTGCTCCTCTCTTGGCCTTTGAGAATTCTAGTCGAATGCCGGACCTCCAGAGTTCGATACGATGTGACCAAAGTTTTCGGAACCAATTATGTCATAGGCACTAATAATTCTGAAGAAGCAGGTGAGATAGACCTGGAACAAATAATGCACTTATTATATTATTATGAACCTTGGTCAAAAATAAATAATTAAATGCACATATATTGTTTAAGAATGAGTCATAATCCAATCAAAAACAACAAATATGGATCGAACTCTTTGTTCAATTCTTATTTCTTATTCTTAGTTCAATAATTATATTGATATACTCTATTTCTAATTCGGAATTAGTTTTGTGTGAAGATTGTTCAAGGCATCAGTTATCAATAGAATGTTTTTTTCATATTTATTAAAATTATAATATTCATCGATATTCTCCCGTTCGTATATTGATTACTTTATTCATTAAATATTTATATTAATGTATATTTCATAATTAAATATTTTATTACTGAAGCAGAACCAACGCACAGAGCAAGTAACGACAGCCTTATTAGTGGATCAACATTGCAAATTGTTAACGAAGAACCATATTACGAGGCTACACCCTCCCAAACAAGTCCGAACGATGCGATTTTGTTGGCCAGCGGCCTCCATGCTATTGTTCCACCTATTGAAAGGATTCAGCAAAGTAATTGGCATTATTTATAATTTTTTTTATTCTACCATTCTTATATTTATTTGTCAGCAATAAAATGTATGAAGTGGTAAAGAAAATTAAATAAATGGTGACCAAATTCAAAAGTCCAAAAATATCAACTATTTCTAGCACAACATAAAACAGTACACAAACAAATATTATCAACATTCAAATTTTAAAGTTTACAATTTAAATATCGATATTGTTTTAATTTTTTTTTCAGATAATACTTCCTTTCCCCCACAAGATGAGTACCAAGTAAGAAGACCACCGCCTAATCTGAATCCAATAACTTATAGTAATACTACTGATAGTTTACAAATTTACGAAAATTGTGCTCTGGTGCCTTCTTATTCCGAAGCATTACTGATGACACCGAATGGTGATGTCGTAAATCGTTTAGAATCTTCTAGAAGAAATAGTTCAGAGAGTAGAAGAGGGATAGCAATTATGAGTTCTATTATCAATACTAGAAGAAAAACGAATGAGGTAAACGTTACGTTATTCTGTTGAAATATTTCAGAGTTCCTAATAAATGCATATCTCAACTCCAAACTGTTAGTAGAACAAATGAGTTACTTTCTGTAATTTATTCTGAATACATATTATAATTAAATAGAAAATAATATTTGTCAGGCTCCTGACGAATCAGTTCAGAGCAGTTGGTCAAACTATAGTCTTCGCACTAGAAACAATAATAGTATATCTAGGGTGAAAAATCAAAATAGAAGATCTTGGAATGGAATCGCACACGTTAGACCAGTACATCACGGGTACAGCACATCAATAATGTAACTAAAATGATATCAGTTCAATCTTAAAATAAATTTATCATTGATTTTTCAGTGGCTCGGTACTGTATTATGCCAGTCCTCTGCTTCAACACTGTCCTGATGATCCTTTCGGAGGGGCAGGTAAGATAATATAATATAAAGATAATTAATTAAAAAATCCTCAAAATTTATGCATCAACATTCAAAACACCAACCTATTTTTACCCTTTAAGAAGTAGATATAATAAACAACAGCTCATATAACTCATTGATGTTTAGGAATAAATATATGGAAAGTCGACAAAACGTTTAAATTCAATGGACCAAATGTCTCCCTTACTTGGTTCATCTTCACATTATAAAATGTTTCGATGTATACTCGTATATACTTTCATAATTAACTTCCCGTAGGGTAGTTATAATAATGGGCCAAAAATCGAAAATGAAAATTTTTGCATTTCTCGACGTTTTGAAGGTTTCTGAACATTTTGGCATACCTCAGAAAAAATGGAAGGTGTGTGTTTTGTATGTCCGCATTTTTTCGTCCACGTTTTCGGGCGCACGGATCAACCGATTTGAATGGTTTAAAAAACATTCGATCCCTATTGATAGAGAGATGTGCTAATTAGTTTTTGGCAAAGGCAGGTCCAGCCGTTACGGAGATACGTAGCAAAGAGTGCTGAAAATGCAAATCGAGTTTTTGAGACAACGGAGTATCGGATTTGAATGATCTAAAAAACATTCAATTTGTAATGATTGGGAGAAGTGGTGATTGGTTTTTGGCAAAGACAGGTCCCGCCATTTCGAAGATACAGAGCTAAATGTGCAAAAAATGGCAGTTTTTGAGTGAACTAAGCGTCCGATTTGAATGATCTAAAAAACTTTCTGCTTGTATTGACAAAATTGCTTTTGAGGATAAAAAATTATTACATCTTTTTTTATTTTATATTTTTGTAATTTTGGATTAAAAATTCAAAAAATTACCCAGACTAAGCACAGTCTGAGCGCCATTCTGGTACAAATGTTTACCCAAGTGCGTTTAGACTGTTTATGTAATGGATCACTTTTTCAATTTTGTGTAGGCAACTATTTTTTTGAATTTGAATTCGAAATGAAATGACGATTGTTAATGTTCTGGAGATAAATTGATTTATGAGTTACATTTGATTTGCTCAGATATAACAAGATAGCAATAATAATGAAAGTTACAGTATTTGTAATAATGTATTTGAAAACGTTTAAAATTCCTCGAACATTTTGTTACGGTACGGGAAGTTCCAACAATTTGCCTTAAGGCACGATGCCATGCGCCCCATTAGTTTTATTTATTGGGCTGGCTTTAAAAATAGCAAGCAAATATATTAATTAAGTAATGAATTATCTTTCACACTCAGGCTTTTTTTTCAAAAGTATTATAATTATTAGATGCTTTTAAAAAGGATAATAGTTATTGATTTTGAATTAGATGTTGAAAAAAATACTATAGTTACTACAATGCGAAGAAATGTATGATTTTTGATAAAATATATGTTATCAAAAACTATACAACACCTCTTTGCATTGCAGTATTCATAGTATTTTTTCAACTAATTCAAAATTAATAATTATTGATAATATTCTTTCTGAAAGCATCTAATAATTCTTCATGAAGTTCTGAAAAAATTGAAAAATAACATTAACCACATATTAAAAAGCAAAGATTATTTTGAAAATTTTTATTTTTAAATATTTCGATATCACTTTGTAATTATCAGTGATGTGTACGCATATATTGATACATTTATGTATATTAATTAACATAATTATCTAAATATTTTAATTTTGATAATTATATGTACTTAATTAGGATGCAACTTGCTTCCACACCACCCATGAGGTGAAGTTGCCCGGCGCGTTTTTTTTAATGTGGTGTCGCCACAGAAATAGATACTTCTATTCATATTTACGTTTCTAACATTTCAGATGGAAATGGATATAGTGTAAATACTACTAAGTATCGATTTGTGCAGCCCTAATCCACTTAAACTAACTTACAAACTAATTATACCTAACTGACCCGAATATAACGCGAAAAGAACCCCCGCAAAATTACCTAATGTACCCAAAAAGTTCGGTTTTTCAAAATGAAAGAACCTCTCGTCGTAAAGAAAAAAAAAATCAATATAAAATGTGTACTTTAGTATTTTAGCGGTGATTGTAAATTAATAAAAAAAAAGCATTTACATGATGTACCCCCCAGATCCACCATGTAAACACTTGGGAAAAAACTTCATAGGTTCCCAGCCTATGAAGCTTAAGGACAAATCATTTTGTGATTTGTAATTATTAATTAATTGATGTAAAGAAAAGCGCGAAAAATATAAGAAAGGTTCTTTCATGACGCCACCCTTTTGAGCTCAGAATAAAAGCACGCAAACAACCCCAAAAAATGTACGACCGAAGATTTTAATTTCAAAACGCCCCTTAAGCTGACATTAACTAAATACTTCTATAATACAATAATATAATATAACTAACTATACAATAATAATAGAAAGTCTTATCTCACAGTTAATTTTCCTTTCGATTATGTCATATCTTCCAATTCAGTTGTAGGCGTGCAGTGGTGCTAGTTGGTTTGGAGTATATCATTTTCTGGCAAATTTCGTGTAAGACCTAAAAAGAGGTAAACATAGAATTTCATTACATCTATACGTTATGGATTCTAGAAGTAATTCTTGGTACCCACTTGCACATATCATTTAATTCGGTAGTGGTCTTTTGGTAGTCCGTGTATATTTTGGTAAGACATACAATTCAATGTCTTCTTGGAAAGACATCTGAAATGAGAAAAAAAGACAAATGCTCCTAATAGGGACGAACTTAAAAACGGTGCCCCGGTTATAATAATAAAAGAATATATAGTTATAACTAAGGTCTAATTAACAATAATATGATAAAAACCTCTACATATGCATATCCTCCTGGCAGTTATTTGGAAGTCCTGGTGCTTTGTGGTGCGAAAAGAAATTAATGCTGTAACCCTGAAATAAAAAGTGGTTTAAAAAATATCAAGAAAAAAATTTATACATATTACTTAGCAGTATGCCAACAATTTTAGTGTATTGGTACATCAATTTGTCTGACCAATTTTCTCCTATGGGTTGTGGAAGTAGTTCTTGGTACTCACTTGCACATATCTTTCTATTCGGTAGAGGTTTTTTGGTAGTACCTATATGATTGGTAAGCAATTTTCTTGGAAATATATCTGAAATGAGTTGAAAAAAAAAACACAAGTGCCCCTAAAAATAGGGACGAACATTCAAACGGGGCCCCGGTAACAATAATAAAATAATTATATAGTTATATCTAACTAAGGTCTAATTACTTAATATTAACTTATGAATACGAGAAAACCTGTACATATCCATATTGAAGTGAACTGAAAGGGTTAAGGGTACTCTATAGATACCGGTTTTTATTAAAAGTCATTTTGGGGCGCTTAGTTAAACCCTTTACATTGGCAAATGCAATGCTAAAATGTACCAAATAGTAGTCGTTGCACCCCAAAAAGGGTACCTCCAACCTTTTTAATCCTGGCGTTCATCTGGCAGTCCTGGTACTTGCCGTCGCGGTGAGAAATTAACTCTGCAACCCTGAAATGAAAAGTGACTTGAGAACATGTAATAGATGATGAATTATAAATACTGCCTGCTCGTAATCATTCCAGTGCTCTGGTACATCATATCGGTACGCATCTTCTCATCTTCGTTGTTGTAGTATTCAACCTCCTGGTATCTTTAGTTTAGGCCCATTTACACTAAAATAAATGTTAATTTTGTTATTTTTTTACATAATTTAGGGTTTTGTATCATCATACCTTTTTTTTTAACTTCAAATAATACGTCTTCAACATTTCTCCGTTTAGGAGACTTATTGTGCAATCACAAAAAATTTAAATTTATTTAATTAAAAAATGTCCATTGCATTACAGCAGAAAAATCAGTCAAAATAAAAACAAGTAATTTATTTAACAAAGTTTTTAGATTTTTAGACGAGTTATTTACATCCATGCTACTAATAAAATAATTCCAAAAAATTAAACATTGTACATTATACGTACATATAATTCTAATTATAAATTAAAGTGTATGGGGTTGCGATGATTCTGGGAAAAACATCGCAAGGATCCATACACCGAATGAAAAAATTAATATATCTAATTAATTTATTAACGAAACACGAATTACTAGAACCTGCCGTGGGGGGTAGGCGACAGGAACACATTTAAGGGCGGAAATCGTTTTAAACGATATTAAAATTACGAACAAAACCTCGCACGAACAAAAAAAAATTAAAATGTGGATGCAAATAACTCAAAATTATAATTAAAAAAATATATATAAAATAAAAATTGTAAATGTGATTGAATAACAAAATTGATGCACAATAAATCCCCAAATCAATCCGCCACTGCGCAAAACACTGTATGAAATCTGAAACAAAAACATTAGAAAATAAACAAAACAAATGTAGTCAATTGTAAATATTTGAAACATAAGATTTATATTAAAATTTTATGTTGACGGAATACTATTGTATGTATTCTAAACCGTACGATCATTAAATGGTAAATAAATCACGGTTGCATTAAATTATTTATGTTAACTCAAAGGCTAAAATTAAATATTTTCACAACAATAAACACTAAAGCGACTTTTTAACAAAAATATATTGAATCTAATTCAAATGTAACGTAAATCGTTTAATATAGAAGAGGCGAATATTTACTTCAATTTATTTACATTCTTACAGTCAATCGAATCAAGTCAAATCGAATCAATCAAAACTCAAATTCCATGACACGTATTTGAAACTAAATGCACAAAGAAATAATACATAATACGTATTATTTTTATAAGACTTACCAACCACCGTAGTGTGCACCAAGCGAGTTCCAAATCCAGAATGATTTTTGTGGGAAATTACACACCTCTTATATTGGGGTCAGAAAGGGACAAAACTATGATTTGTTACCAGATGATACTAAAATTCAAAAATTGTTATCTAATTGAATAGTTTCGGGTTCAGAACCATAGAGGGTGCAATACGAAAAGTTTGTACCTCAGTCACAATCAGTAGCGTCGGAAGCAAATTTTTGATGTGTGGGCTTGTTTTTTTTTTCGATACACAGACAGTGGCTTCGTTTTTTTTAGAAACACATACTAGGGCATATCATTTTTTGGGATTGATCACCCATCAAAATTCATGGGTAGGCTCAAGCCCACACAGCCCACACGGTTCCGACGCCACTGGTCACAATTAAACCTTCGTGGCGAGATTATCGAGATTATTTTATAGTTTTTATAGTTCTGTTTGATTTATATATTTGATTTCATTGTGAAGTATTATTTGTATTACTTTGTTTTTATTTGTATTTGCGTCTCATTAATTTGTGCGTTTTTATATATAATTATAAAATAAAATTAAAAGTATTTTGGTTATATATATATATATATATATATATATATAATATTAATAGAATTTTGTGATATGAGTGGAACGAATATTAAATGTTAAATATGAAGTTACTGCTAAATATGAATTAAATATGAAATACTGGTAATGGTGTACTGTGTTGCATTGTAAGAGAATGTTGGTGCTTTTGTTTTAAAAATTAAATATAATTTATATTAAAATATTGAATAATGTGTCAATATATAATTTTTACTGTTTTAAAATTACACTGAAGATGAGTCTACCTTGGTCTCGAAATTTCTGTAATTTGAAAATTCTATTCGTAACACACGTGATCGCCTTTGTAGCGATCCTTTCTTATTCAATCAATACGATCAATACAATCCACTAGTAGTGCATGGCATCGTGCTTTAAGCAAATTTCTGGAACTTCTCGTATTTTGAAACATAAAGATATGCAAAAATTTTCATTTTCGTTTTTTTTGCGATTACTATAACTTACCCTACGGAAAGTTAATAATAATATATATAATATCAGTATTTGTGTGATTTTATTAAATGGTTTTATGCGATTTTAATTTTGCACGATTGTTTTTTTCGATTTATTTTTTTGTGGTATATGAATCTTACGGGGTATTCTAGTATAGGAATTTAAACAAATAGTTCTTTTTTAACAACCCGTAGGGTAAGTTATTGTAATCGTCCAAAAATCGAAATTGAAAGATAAAGAGCAAAAAGTGCAGAAAATAAAAATCGAGTTCTTGAGAGAACGGATCCGATTTGAATGATCTAAAAAACATTCAATTAGTAATAATTGGGAGAAGTATTTATTAGTTTTTGACAAAGGCAGGCCCAGCCATTTCGGAGATACAGAGCTAAATGTGCAAAAAATGGCAGTTTTTGAGAGAACCAAGCGTCCGATTTAAATGATTCAAAAAACTTTCTGCTTGTTTTAACAAAATAATTGATTTTGGAAAAAAATGTTTCAAAATTTTTTTGTTCAATTTTTTTTTCAAAAAACTTTTTTTGTATATCGAAAATAATTCAGATTTTATTTTTAATTTTGACTAAAGATCTAATATACTTTGAACAAATAATTTCAACTTTGCGATTCAGTTTATATAATTCTTATAAATATTAGACAATGTTACAATATTTATAATAATCTATTTAAAAACATTCAATATTCCTCGAACATTTTGTTACGATACGGAAAGTTCCAGCTATTTGCCTTAAGGCACGATGCCATACACCCCACTAGTATAACTTTATGATGCTCATTTATATACACCCGCAAATTACTTGTTATCACCATATATGAAAAACGCTGTTGATATGTTCAATATATTTTCCTTCATTTGCTTCAAATTTTAAGAATATCATCTATCATAGGGCACCCGTTCTACTTAACTTCAGAAGCACTTTTCAAGGCTTTTTTTTATTAAATCTTATCATTCATTTTTATTAAACATTATCATATATAACAATTCTATTCTTTGCTCTCCAATACAATTCTATACACCTGTCCGTTAATTTAAAAAAAAATAATATATGGTACTTCGTGTCCATAATAATTTATGAATGTGTTGAAAGTTTTTATAATTTGTGTATTTTTTAGAATCGGTAATGGTGCCAGAAGTACCGCCACCAAGTTACGAAGAAGCGCTTTTATTTCCACGACTAAGAGCGTTGGCGCGCTCCGCCACAACACGTGAGGGTCTCTTTCTTAATTCTGGCCCTTCTGCTCCACGAAGAGCATCGTTAGGGGTCCCCAGGAGAATTATTAATATGGAAACCAGCCTTTGATATTCGCATAAAAATTTAAGTGAAATGTCTTTAGGTAAACTTATAGAAAACAAAGTGTAAAAATTGTTACTACTAAAATACGAGGCACAAGTATCAAAGCTGATAATAAAAAAAATTGGTATTTGTTGTTTCAAATAATCAGTTGGAAACATCTGCAAACCAGTAAATCAATTTTAAATATATGTATATATATGTTTAATGACAACTTGATTCTAAGCGCTTCAAATTATATTTGAATTCGAAATTTGGAACTTTAACCCATAGTATGAAAGAGGCCTAGGCAAATCGATTCTTGTATATTTTTACTGATTTTTTAATTCTGGTGAAATTATTAATACGTTATTTGTATTTGAGCGTTCCAACGTCGAAACATTTGCAAATTACAAAAACAAGAATACAAATAACTATAGGAAATTGCAAATAATAAGAGTAAGGAAGCATGCATATGACTTAGATACTAAACGTATATTAATTTACGTTTATAAAATACTAGACATCAAAAACATATATAATGAATATAGCTTAAGTAAATATATGAGTGCCAATGCCGAATTTTTATAATTAAAAGTAGTAAATTATAGGTATTTTGCAAAATCATTACCGGTTTCATGAAACAAGTAGCTATAGCTAAGTGAATGCAATTGTTGTATTCAGAAAATTAGATAGCAATGCAAAATATTCAACAATTTAGTATGTTAAATAAATATTATTTTATAACAATAAATAGTTCAATCAAATATCAAAATACGCGAACAAATTACAAAATATTGAAATGTAATTTCAAATAAAAATAATTTTATTTTATTTGTATATATATTAAACTTATAAGATAGTTGAGTTAAACTAAAATCACTCATGTACCTGTACAAATGTAACTGTAAGCTATTATATTGCACAATATTAAAATATTCTTAATATATAAACCTGCCCTAAAATGCAATTTTTAAACGTAAAATAATTTTACGCTAGTTTTTGGTACCTTACGAATGAAAAATTTTACCAAACAAAAATATAGTTATTAATTGTATATTATAACGTTAGCAAAATTCATTCAATCGACATTATTCTTATATACATTTTGTCGCTGAAAATTCAATATGTGATGTATACTTAATTAAAAATATGTATTTTTGATTTATTTATATATATATATATATATATATATATATATAATACACACATATATAAATCTGCAACTTGTATAATATTTACAGATGTTAAAAATAAATTCCTTCATAAAAAATATAAGCATATTATTTGTTTTATTATATAAAAAATATAAGAATATGATTCGTTTGCGACTCATTCGAAGAGACGTGACATTTATATAAAATTATTGTAGTTATTAATTCGAATCTACGAAATTGATGATATCGGACTGGTTGCAAGGAAATTCCGAAAGTATATTTACTTAACCATAAGGCAGCAATAATGTCGCATATCAATCACAAACATTCAATTGAATCAAATTAATCTCGTGATAGAGAAGTGTTTTTTTAGTTTTACCATCAAAGTTAAATAATTAGCACATCAAAATAGTCACTTATCGAACACTAGTATTATTCAACACTACACATACCAAATAACTAAACCGATGTAAACAATGATCAAATTTCAGGAAAACAAATTAGTTTCTAAATGGCTTTATTGTAATATATAAAAATATACAAAAGCATAACAGCGTATTCGATAATAATATCGTGCTTTCCAATTGATTTTATAACTACTAGATATCAGGATTAGATTAATTCAATCAATAATTGCTCAAATGGCAGCATCTAAATCACAATTCATTTTTACATTAATCAAAAATGGTTATTTCACTTAAATTCGAATAAATTAATATGCTATTGCTTATTTGCAGTAAAAATATACCTCATACATCACAGACATACTTTTATCACTAAATAATAGTAAATTAAACTAAAACAAACGGCAAGTTTTATATAATTATATAGTTTGTTCAAAAACAAAGCACATTTTTTAAATTTAGTAGTAGCCCATGCGTCGAAAATAAAAACTAATAAATATTAAAAAAATATATATTCTGGGTGTTTTGGGGCTAAATAAGTGTCATGATTCAGTAGTCTGAACAAGGAGATATACAGAAGATATTTACTTAATTAATGAAGAGAAAGGGCCTCACCGAAAACGATAAAGTCTGATAAAAAAAATTTAAAATTTACTTATATTACGCACATGTTTGTGCGTATACATTAAACGTCTAATTTATGATATTAGTAATGCATTATAGTTTATTATTTAAAATCTTTTTAATAAAAGTCTGAAGATCATGTTATGTAATACAATAACTTATAATATTCTTCATGTTCTTCATTTAATTCTTATTATATTTTTTGAAAAAATATCATTTTATCACGAATATTTGGTAATTTTCAATTGCAAAATTTCAAAACTTCACAATATATTTTAAATCTAAGTATAATTTTAATAACTGATAATAGATCCAATTTGTATTGAAGGGATGTATCCAGTTTTCTCAACTTATTAAAACTGAATATTAATTTATGGTGTTTTAATATAAGCATACCAAAATTATTAATTTTGGCGTTCAAAATGCTCAGAAATCAAATAAAGGAATAAGCACTATGTAATTTTTAAGAAATCCACTAAAGATGTTTAAAAAGATCTCTAATAAGTAATAGATATAAAAAAATATTGAGGAAGTAATTGTATAATTCTGATAAACGCTAAACGCAGAATTTCAGATTGAAAGATATAAGTTTTAAATCACCGCGATGATAATTTCTCAATATGCTTAAAAATTAAGAATATGATAGATCGTCACATTTATACAAAATAGGTTAATTTTCCTGAGATAATTTTTAAAATAGCCTTAATGTGTAATAAATAAAAATAATTTTAATAAATAGATCTCTCAAAACCAAAAATAAATATAAAAATATTTATCTGACTTCATATCAAGAAACAAGCAAAAATCCTGTATTCTATCTTATTAAAATGTACTTACTAAAAATAAGCCAAACTAACTTTTTCAATGTCATAGTATCCAGAAAATTTATCTATTCCTGAGAGTATAAAATTGAAATCACTGGATCTTCAGTTCGGAAAGTAATCAACACATCTCGAAATTTATCAAGAAGTTGCAAAATTTGTGATCTTTGAAGATTTTCATTATACATTATTTCTTCTAAATGATGCTCTCCTTGAAAGTAACCTAAAATTTAAACAAAATAATTTAAGAAAATGTTGATATTTATGTCCTATTATTCCAAGAAAATATAAAATATAAACAATAGTGGCAATAAAGTTAATTCAATAATATGAATAATGAATAATGTAATGGTTTCTTCAACTTTCCCAGCAATTTTTTATATTAAAAGGTCATAGACATCATTCACATTGTAATAATGATATATTAGTAAACCTTTTTTCCGAAGCCTTGCCAGTAATGCCAGATCTTGATGATTTGAAGAAGCTGGAATCTTCATGATGTATTCTCTTTCAGAATCAGTAAATTCCATAAACAAATCGTCATTTTTCTCATCCACTGATACAAAGCTTATCTCATTCTCTGTACTCGCAAAAGATGTGGAAGGTGGTATACTAAAATATTAATGAAACAATTAATTTAAATTTTCAAACATCAATAACATAAAATTATAAAAAGAATCATCTGTTTCTATAAGAATTTAATTTCAAGAATAAATAATTGAGAAAAATATGTGAAAACGCAAAATTTGCATTTACATTAGTTGTAGATAATTTTAATCAAATAAAATTCAATTTGATTAACTTAGCAAAATACCTTGCTGATGATTTGTGGCTATAACTAGGTAAAGCTGTTAGATCATCTGATAAATTGGAATGTGAATGTGAGTGAGACCTAAAAATAATTTCAATAAGGTCACATGTTAGTAGTGATTGCATTATATATTTAATACTCACCTAGAAGATAAGGCTAAATCAGATCCATGAGAATTAAACATTGGGTCGCCATTGAAATGAACTGCACCATTTGTTAAATTTTTGTTGTTTGTGGGTACAGGCACTGGCAGGCTAGAAGCACTCATTACTGAACCAATAATGCTGGAATTATTTCAATATGCATTGAATAAAAAAAGATAAAACTATGTAATAAAATCAATAAACTTATAAGCATGAACACATATTTACTGTTCTTCAGGAGTAGTTTCTCGGCCATTAACCACTGGACTAATATCTTCTGGTCCTAAGGAAAAATTTTCAGCATTTAAAATTAATATAAATAGTAAATTTAAAAATGGTAAACCCCGAATAATGTGCAAACAAAAAATAATTAGAAATAAAGATTTTTTATTATTAGAAAGTCATTTTTTATAATTTAACATATATGTGTATGGCATTAACTTACCTATTTGTGGGACCATGAATTGTATATAGTGTGAAGCTGAACTAATAGATGATGTTGCAACATCCACACCAACATTTGTACAAATTGAGAATGTTGAGAAGGATGCTGTAATGGGCTCAATTTGTGTGCTACACATGTTCCTAAAGAAAACTCACTTATTACCTGAAATTCAAAATTTTTTCCAGTTAACACTGTATACATGTGTCAATTAATCTTTTTTAATTGATTGTAAATATGATTTAATGGCATATTAATATCAACTAATATTTAATATAAACTCTTCAAACCTCCAATAAACATGTTCCGGGAAACTGTTCTGAAAATTTTTCAACCAAAGGTGAGTTTATATATAACGGCGCATCTGAGGCTATAACATAAACATTATTTTCGCACAGAGGATAAATAATAGTAGCCTTAGCCCAGTATACCATATGCCCTACTAGTTGATAAACCTAAAACAAAAAGAAAAATAAATCATAAAATAATTAAACATTAATCTTAATTATCACAAATTTTCTTAAGAATGTTTTGCATCAATATTGAAGATTCAAATATCATTTAATAGATTTTGATATTGGTTAATAAATATTCACATAAAAAATATTTCCCATATACTTCTAAAGAA